AGGTGTCATAGGACACTGCACAGACCTGATAGTTTTTAGGGTAATATCAGTACATATAATTACCTAATTTGCATAATTAATTAATTTTCAGTTTTTGATATATCAAGTTGTAATCATCACATTTCAATGAAACTTGGTACATAGTTACTTAAGGACTGTGCAGACCCCTGATTAGTTTTTTGGGTAAATATTTGTGCATATTAATTACCTTATTAGCATAATTAGTTAATTTTAAGCTTTTTGCCTGATATCTCAAGTACTAATCATATTTCAATGAGACTTGCTACATAGATCTTCTAGGACTATGCAGAGACCTGATTAGTTTTAGGGTAAATAATATGTGGATATTAATTTCCTAATTTTCATAATTAGTTAATTTTTTTCATGAATGTTCCACTGATATATAAAGAACCATGAGTTGGATTTTAATGAAACTTTTAAAGAGTACTCATCATCACATTTCAATGAATCTAGAACTATGCAGAGACCCAATTACTTTTTGGTAAATATTTATGCTTATTAATCACCTAATTAACATAATTAACACTGATATCTCAATTACTGATCATCACATTTGAATAAAATTTGGTACATAAATGCTCTAGGACAATAGACAGGCCTGATTAATTTTGGGTTAAAATTTGCTCATATTAATTCGCTAATTAGCATAATATTTCATGAATTTTTTTGTTCTGTTCTGTTCATATTAGTTACCTGATTCACATAATTAGTTTTCAGTTTTTCCATCAATATCTCAGGTACAAGTAATTTTGAATTAATTTTTAATGTACTCTCAGCACACGGGAGTTCTTTCTAAGCTTTCTTTGATTAATAACTGTGGCCGGAAATTAACTTTAAATTGTAGTATACATCTCTTCAAGTTAAATTGCTACTGGGTTCTAGATGTTGTGTCTATCATATTTTCAACACATTAGTCCTTGCCATAGGGATACAGAAAATGAAAATAAGTGTGGTGTCATCAGACTGTATTTCAAAAAACTGAAGTCTGAATTGTTGTAAAAAATGTAAATTTCGTTTCTGCGTTGGTTACTGAGATGAAAGTTTGTCATCATGTTCTAAGTTGTTCGGATGGTATTTATCCATTATACATTTAGGTATATTTTATCTTACCCACGATGCATTGTCATATGTACATGAGATTTAAATCAGCTACAACTACATGTATTATTATTATTATTATAAATACTATTATTTAAATATAAAAGTATATGTAAGAATGCAAATGAACACAATTAATGAGTGCCACAGAACCAATGAGTGAGCACACCAATATACTAAACATGTAATTTGTATAAATCCAGACTTTTCAGAAAGAGTTTATGAATTTCCGAAATGAAGTTGACCAACTTATGAGGAAAAAGAAGATGAGTGCCCCAGGGAATCTAAGGGAATACAGTCCGTGGTTGAGTGATTTCCAGCCTATCAACTATGAGAAGGAGTTGGAGATCCCTGGTGAGTAAAATAGTTTGAGCTAAGTAGAATTCTGGCTCATCATGTAATCAACTGAAGACTAAAATTTTCAAAAAATCAATCATTTTATTCAAAGCCATATCTCTCTGACATGTCTTCACCGATTATGTTCACATTATATATGTAAATAATACATCATGTAACACATATGTAAATAATACATCATGTAACACATATGTAAATAATACATCATGTAACACATATGTAAATATATTTGTTTGATGATCAGATTCAAGATGACCAAATGACGGTCATTTTAATATTGAAAATTCATCAAAACCAAGCATTTCTGCTATTCTAGAACAAAATCTTGGTCGTGTATAGATTTTTTTTCAAAGTTAGTGTATTGGACATTACAGGACCTTGAAGCAACTCAATTTGTTTTTTAGATCGGATTCAAAATGGCTGACTGGTGGTCATTTTATTTTAATGAGTGCTGTTCCAGAGCTGTAGCTCTGATATGCCTTGACCAACCATTTTCAAACATCATATATGAATTTTACATCATGTTCATGTATTTGTTTGATGATCAGATCCAAGATGGCTGCCATTTTTATATTATTAAATGCATTTCTGTCATTCCAAACCCATATCATACATGAACATATATTGTTTAAACTTGGTGCATACATTGAACATAATGAGACTATGTTTTTCAGCTCAAATTCGCAATGGCCAAATGTTTCTGACTTAACTTGACATCTTGTCACAAATATTATCACATTGCTTTTGTCGTCTGTGTCAACTTTTTACATTTTCAACTTCTTGTTGAAAACCGCAAGTCTGATTGCTTTGATATTTGATGTATATGTATCTTGGGCAGACCTCTCTTAGATTTGTTAATTTTGTGATGATATCTTAAATTTTCTAATTTTGATGAATATTTTTGTCATTTTTGGTAAAAAGTGATACCGGTATTTTCAACTTCTTGTTGAAAACCGCAAGTCTGATTGCTTTGATTTTATATATATAGGTACACTAATACATGTGGACCACTCTCAGATTTGTTCATTTTGAGATGATATCTTTGATTTTGTAATTTTGATGAATATTTTTGTAATAAGTGATACCGGTATTTTCGAATTCTTGTTGAAAACAGCGTGTCCGATTGCTTTGATACTACAGTTTTTGTGCTGTATACATTTTCTGTTCATTTTCTAATAATATCTTCAGTTCTTTAATTCAAAATGTATATTGCTAACAGTGGAGCTATCTCAGCCAACAGGCTGCTTGTTTTGATGTCGGTTTGACCCAACTTGTTCCAATCATGTTACGATCTCAAGATGAGCATAGCAAACGAATCAGTAATTTAGCTGGCAGTGTTTTGGTGTCAAAACAATATGATGGTGATGGAAACAATCTTTCGGTTTTGCAGGACAATACAAAGGACGGAGTAAACCATTATTGGAATACCATGTTAAGATCGCTGGTTTTGATGAAAAGGTTTGTACGCATAATTTCAAATGTCATACAACAACGTTATTCACTCTATTAGATACAGTATTTCGTTTCCTGCAGTATTCCTTCCATGAAAAAACATAGCTTCAAAGAACAATATTAAGAATTGCATGTTCACATCCACATTGATCTTTACAGATGACAATTTCAGGTTCTTATGCCTATAAGACATACCACAAACTTGTTTACTTCCATGAGACATATTATTAATGCAACAAATGACTCTTTTTTTTTGCTATTCAGGTAAAGGTAATGTCTTCATTAAGAAAACCCAAGCGTCTTACAATTCGAGGCAATGATGAGAAAGAACACAACTTTCTGGTGAAAGGCGGTGAAGATTTACGTTTAGATCAAAGAATTGAACAGCTGTTTGGCATCATGAATGACATCCTAGCATTAGATGCAGCTTGCAGTCAGCGAAGTTTAAAACTTGTAACATATGAAGTTATTCCAATGACACCAAGGTTGGTACATAACTTACATGCAGTATAATTAATCAGCCATATTCACATCTTTAAATGTAATAGTCTATGGCGTATTTTCTGATACTGTGTTAAAGTATGTATGTCCAGTAAGTCAATTACTAATGTACTGTTCAGCCAGCATGGATTAAAGACATCACCTCAAAAAAGATTGAGTTTGGTACAAGTGACAAGTCCTTGAGTAACTCATTATAGGATTGATTCAGGTTTTAAACATTACAAACATTCAATGTGTTGGTCATCAGGAGGTGTTATGAATATTGCCAATACTCTGTTTGGCTACTTGCCCACCCTTGAATAGAGGTGGGACAGATGTCTGTTCAATTGGCTTTGGTAAATTTGTTTCAACAGGTAGGTGTCCATTTATCATTAAGGTTAATAATAACTTGACCTCAATGCAAGAAAACCCACCTCCAACACTAGAGCAGAATGCACTAAAGTTTGGGTATCCCTGGCATTGGCAATCAGACTAGCTGGGGACCAAATTATTAAGGATGCTGTATAGGTTTTTGGTATTGATTTTCTAAACGGGTGTTTCCATATAAAATATTTACTGAACCATACAAAGCTATATATTGATGGAAAGCTTATTTCACACTGAATGTGAAATCGACAAGATAGTGTGTGTATGGACGTGTAAAGTCACGTGATCTCTGTGTAAACACAGAAGCCATTTTCGTTAAAAAAATTATTGAACCAATGA